CCATCTTCCAAATACATGTGCATCCCTTATAATGGCTGCTAAATAATGCAAGGTTAGCATACAGGAAATTACCAGGCGATTTTTCTGGGAAATGTCTAGATTCCATCCATGACTGTCCAGATATTGAATGTTTTCTGTTGGAAAGCGGAACTTCTGAATTGCTGTGGTTCTAACGGACCACGTTTTATTTTCAAAGTTACAACAATGGTTACAGTTCCTCGAAAGTGCTTTTCCTATCTTTGAAATGCCTGTTTTAGGTGATTTTTATTTCGATACATCTTTAGTAATAGGTCCACAGCAATAAATAAAACAATTTTGGACTTCTTTTCTTTCTTCCCATGATTATCAACGTGGACCACATTCGAGATGTGGAAGCGGGAAAATCATATTAACCAGTAATTAACACGTAATGACACATTTATTAACTGTAATAAGGCACTGTTCTCGCTTTAGATCCGGTAGTTCCAAAAAGCATGGTTAACTGTTAACAGGTGAATAATTAACTGATCATAAAGGCATAATAAATTATATTTTTTTCTATTAAAGCAAACAAAAAAAATCTTAAATTCATGGCACAGACATTATGGGTGGGTTATGAGTTTTTGTAATGCTATTCTGAACAATTATAAGATACTTATGGGGCTTTTGTTGATGTTCTTAAGCTTCTGCAAACTAAATATAAGCTCTTATAAGTGTCTTATAGTCTGCTATTAACCGTATGATAATGCTATTATTAACACTTGTATAGGCTTATAAACACAATAAAATTAATAAGCATGTTTTAAGGACTTACAAGTGCCTTATTACCTATTAATTAATAGGTAATAATGTGTTATACTTGTATTTTGCTGATATGAGAGGGTATACTATGGAACCAAAGGGTAAACTTGTAAATTTGATTTTTTTGTGCTAAAAACTCAGCATTTATAGTTATATACATTTATTAAACCAGCCAACTGGTTAAACTTTAAACATGTTTTGACGTCACGAAGAGTTGCATGACAGAAAATGTTGCTTCTGAATTCAGACACACTTTGGACCCGATTACCAATCGATACCAATGCATAGTTCTAAGGTTC